GGAAACTGGTAGTTGAGGGGTGGCTGGGCTGTTGCTAAGGAATCTCAACCTGGACTGTTAATGTGCATGGAATGACCTGTGATGTACAGCAGAGGCCAGCTGACCACAGGACCCACAGCCTGTGGAACATGGCAGCCCTGTTCTGACTGTCCATGTCCTGTCCAACACATGGGAGGAGTTGATGACACATAACCCAGTCTCTGAAGTGAGGGACACATTTCCCAGTTCTCCAGGACTCATCACCCCCATGTCCGTCCACTAGGCCCCAATCATAGCTCAAGATCCAGGGATTAGCAATGTGCCTTCCTTTTGGAGTCTGTGTAGAGGGAACCTTTTGCTCAGCTTTCACTTTGCTTTGCATTTATAAACCCACTCCCAAGCCGGGTGTTGATGGCTCATGCCTGTAATCCTAGCTACTCATAAGGCTGAGATCTGAGGTTCAAAGCCAGCCTGGGCAGGAAATTCCATTGTAAGCATTAGACCAACCTTTGGTCCTCGTATCCACCCAGACCTGAGCTCCTCTCAGCCCTGGAGTTCCCGCCATACAGCTGGCCCCTCCATCTCTCCGCCCAGACGCATCTGAGCTCCCATCTACCTCACTGCCCCCAGACCCTGCTGCTACCTAGATGGTGGAGGTGCCATGTGCTCTCTCTCCAAGGGAAATATGGCTCCTTTAAGAAAGCTTGTAATAATCTTTCTCCTGTGCCTGCCTCTGCGTGGTCCCCTGGGATGTATGTGATGGATCCTTTCATCTCCAATAAACCCCTCAGAAAACAAGAAGTGGCACTGTGGCTCAAGTGGTAGAGCACTTGCCTCGAGCTAAAGAGCTGAGAGACACCACCCAGGCCCAGAGTTCAAGCTCCATGACCAACAAAAACAAAACAAAACAACAACAACAAAAAACAACGCTCCCAGAGAAGTCTCTTCTCCTATCTGTCCTTGGGTTCTTTCTCTGAGTGGGCATGAATCATAGAGCCCCAAGAAGCTGAAATCTGGGCGAGATCCCCACCACTCTGGAAGCAGGCTCACCTTGTAACTGACCTTAGATGCCCCTCAGCTTGGCTTCAGATTCTAGAAATTTTATAATAGCAACACTAGAAGCACAAGGACTGAGACACATCTTTTTCTCTATCTTGGGATCCAGTTGAAACTTGAATCTTCAGGAAATTGCTTTGTCAAAATGTCTAGTTCTGAGCCCTCAAAATGCACACTGGACAATCGTACAGTGAAGAGAGTAGAGAGATATGGGTGAGATACTTAATGTCATGGGTTTGTTTGCTCCTCGTTAATATACTCATCAGTTATAAATTATCCTCTGAAGAAGTAAATACAAGGACTGAAGAGTGCTAGAAGAAATACAGGAAAAAGAAGTTAATGTCAGTAACCTGACAGGCTACCTCTCGGGTGGAGAGCAGCAGCAGGACTGGGTCACAAGCATGACTTTTCTAAGGGCAGGTTCATGTGACAAGGGGAAACTCCGTTGCAGAAGGGGTTAACATTTACAGTTGCAGCTGTACAAACAAGGGAGAGGGAAATTGCATGAGGGGAGGAGCTGCCATTAGAGATGCAGCTACCTGTGTCACCTGTTTTTCGGGGAGGGGGGGAGGAGGCAGAAGGGAAGGAGAGCCTGTGTCACCTGATTTCAGGGAAAGATAGTTTTGTTTCTGCCGAAGATCTAAGGTGGCAGACTGGGTAGGAAGATGGAGGAGGTTAGGCTAACACACTTGCTTTGAGAACAACTCCAAGTCAGATGAGACAAGCCGTGCAGAGGGCCTGCCCACTATGCTGTCAAAGGCAGCATCTCCACTGCCCCTTCAGTGCCAGGAACTCAACCTGGCACATTCTTAAAGGCGCTGCCACCCTGCTGCCATTTCCAAAGACACATGTCTCTGCCACCACCAACCCAGCAAGAATGCAAGAGCCTCCTTCCAAATCTACCTTGCAGGCCTATGTTCTAGCTTCAGTTCAAGTTTTCATCTTTGCATTAGGGTCCCATGTGCAGGAATCTCTACAGGATGCTTCAGAGGATGCTGATGGAGGCATCTTCTACCTTGACTGTGTCCGTAACGGGACTGTGATTCTGCATTGTAACTTTGTGAGTTGTTACTATGGAAGGAAACTGGATAAATGATTTCCCAGGTCTCTGAATGACTTAAGAGAAATATACATCTCCAACCATCTCAGATAAAAAGTTTAATCATGAATGACAGTTAGGAGAACAGAAAGGCAGGTAAAAGGATTGAATTCCTAGTATTGCAAAAACAAATGAAAACAAAAAGTGTTAACAACAGAGGAATTTTCAAGTAAGAGTAGGGAAAGTACATTAGAACTTGACACTTCAGGATCCAATTTTTGTTAACTCTAAAATGAATTCTATTTTTTTTTGTAGCCTAGGCTGCTGGCCTTGAAATCCTGGGCTTAAGTGATCCTCCTACCTCAGCCTCCTAAGTATCTGGAACCACAGGTGGCGTTATTCTGCCTGGTTGAGTTTCATGGTTTTGAAACAGAATCATGATTGTAACAGGACATGAGTACAGGATCTAGAAGTTCAAGGGCTGCACTTGTGTCTAGTGAGGAGTTATGAGCAGCTAGTCATGTCAGAAATATATACACATGGGCTGGGAAGGTGGTTCAGTGGGAGAGTGCTTGCCTTGCACGCATAAAGCCCTGCATTTGATTCCTCAGCACTACATAAGCAGAAATAGCCGGAAGTGGTGCTGTGGCTCAAGTGGTAGAGCACTTGCCTTGAGCTAAAGAGCTGAGGGACAGCGCCCAGGCCCAGAGTTCAGGCCCTACAACCAACAAAAAAAAAGAAAGAAAGAAAGGAAAGAATTGGATAAACATGAGGGTGACAGTGGCAGCTGAGGAAGCGGAAGTCAGCGATACCACTTTACACATCTTCAATTAACAAAACATAGAGTGAAGAAGTGTTTCCACACATGCCAAATTAGCACCCGCTGAAGAGCCTGCCATCTGGCACTCAGAAGCCGTGAGGATGAGGTGCGATGGCACCAGCTGGTGGTGGCAGCAGACTTGACAAACGCCTCTGTCAGTGTGGTGAACGAGAGCCACAGCTTGTATTCTTTGTCCAGATAATCTTATACCAGGCTCCTGAGAAGCTGGTTGTAGCAGTTCACATGCACTCCTGGTACTTGGAAGGCTGAGACAGGGGGACAGTGGAGTCAAAGCCACTCCAGGCTCCACAGCCAGACCAGGTCTGAAAAACAAAATGAAACCAAAGAAGTTTCTGAGGAGCTAAATGGACAGAAGTTAAAACCTACTGTGAAGTATTGCGCAGGAAAAAAAACAAAACAGTTCCTCGTGTGTCTAATAAATTGATGATATTTTAAAAGCAGAGCTAAGGAGGTATAACAAGCCCAAAGAGGCATGTTTAGTAAAAGCTAAATGCAATATTTAGATTCTAGATAGACCTAATATGGAGGAGTAACTGTAGAAAACTGCCTTTGGACATGGAATTAATGTTTCTATGGCCTGGAAGTTAGATTATATTAATAACTAATTATGTCATTTGTGTAAATGGCAGATGACTGTGCTCTAAAAGTCATTATCAGAGACATTTTGATGGGTAGAGGTGCAGTTCATCTTCTGTTCTGATAGACTTGAAACACATAATAAAAATGTAAAACATCTTATAGCAGCCTACTCACTGTGCCTTACTATCTACCATCGTTCAGCTCTGCCCTAGTTGCTTGCATTCCCAGCATTCCTTGCACCTAAAGTGCAGTCATGTGACCAAACTCTGACCAATAAGATTCAGGTAAAGATGATGTGCAAACACTCATGGTTCTTCTCAGTGAAGTCAGTATAGGTAGGATCCATTGGTTCTTGCTGTCTTCCCACCTCCATTCTGCTGGGGTCAGACTCGCTGGGAAAGCAACCAAGATACTCTCACCCCTTCATTGCTCTGGACCCTGAAGTTTGTTCTTACTGCATCAAAGTTAGACTGAAACATACTGCATGCCTCTTGTCCTATTTTAGGGCCAATTTTTATGACTACAATTGCTAATTTCAAAGCTGTTTATCAAACACTCCTTGCACAGGTCTCTCCTGAGGTTAAGTCTGGCCATCAGAAGCAATCTGTAAATTTCACGACACAAACCAGGAGCTTTTGGCAATGGCTGTTTTAAGACTTTTTTAGTCAGCTGGTCCCTTAAAGTGGATTACGGAAGTTGATATTGGGCATCTAGTATGTGCCAAACTCTGTCCTGGGGCTGGAGAAAACAGATGAGTAGGGTATTGTTTCCCCCCCTTTTAAAGATCTTGTAGTGTAGTCATTTAATTTATACCCGACTGAAGACAGCAATTTGTGCATTGGTGATGGAAAAATAGCAGAGCTGCCTGAGACCAAGGCTATATAGAATTTTGATGTAGTTCTATTTTAGTTTAATGAACAACTCAAAGGGGTGGAGTAAATATTCTAATTTTTAACTGCAGAAATATTTTAACAATGCTAATATTTTAAATGAAAATTCCACTAGTGTCATTTAACATACTTCAATTTTTCTGTTTGGGTCTTTTTCTATATTTATGTACAAGTGTTATAAAAATCTAACCAGAGAACAGTTACTGTATTCTAAAGTCTAACCCTCACCTTGAGCATTTTTTCAGTATCTCTATATAGGCTGCTTTTGTATTTTAATTTTTATATGATATTCCACTATTCTACTATTTTGTTTAGTCATTTTGATCTTTACTATTTAGATCTCCCCCTCTCCCCCGCCCCCCAGTCCTGGGGCTTAAAATCAGGGCACTGTTCCTGAGCTTTTTTGCTCAAGGCTAGCATTCTACCATTTAAACCACAGATCCACTTCCAGCTTTTTAGTGGTTAATTGGAGATTAAACTTTCCTGCTGGATTGGTGTCAAGCTATGAACCTCAGATCTCAAACTCCTGAATAGCTAAGATTACATGTTTCTTTATGATAAAAATTCTACAACAAACAGTTTTATGAATCTATCTTTTTTTGGGTTATTTATTGACAAAAGAACTCAGGAGCATAATCACCCATTCAAAAGATGAATTATTTTTCATCTTCCCTACCAAATTGATTTAAAAAGAATACCAATGATCATTACTGTGAATGTAAACCTTCCTGTTGAACTTTGCCAGCTTCAGGTATAAGTTACAGTTTTTGGCTAATTTAGAAAATGTACCTATAGCTGAGTGCTGGTGGCTCATTCCTGTAATCCTAGCTACTCAGGAAGCTCAGATCTGAGGATCATGGTTCAAAGCTAGCCCAGACAGGAACAATCATGAGACTCTTTTCTCCAGTTAACCACCAAAAAGCCAGAAGTGGAGCTGTGGCTCAAGTGGTAGAGCACAAGCCTGGAGCACAAAAAAGCTCAGAGACAATGCCCATCAAAAAGATACTTTATTCCCTTCTTTTTATTTGTGCATTTGCTATCCTATGTGACATGTTAATGTCCCTGGTACATTTTATCTACTGGGATCTTGAAGATTCCATTGTATCTGTAGCTTTTAATCATGTTCTCTTTTATTTTTATCAATTGCTTTTTATCAGTGCAGTGTTTAGGGAAACTCATTCAGCAATAGTTTCTGGTAATGTATAGCTAACAAGAATAAACAGGGCAATTAGATACTGTGGCTTTTAATACACTCAGTCAAAAAGTGTGAATTGGTTACTAACTGCTGGTGGTAATAATGTCACATGATCTATGAAGTAAGTAGCTGTCAGTGAAATGGACAGCTCTATCTACTGAAGTACTTTGAAGGGGCTATCTCTATGTTTTGTCTTGATGGATCAATTTTCCTAAGGAATTTAGAAGGTTTATAAGTCATGCCTAACCTGTGACGGACCAGCTCGGCCGGAGCACTGGGACCGGCGGGACAGGGATCTCGGGATAGCTGGGCAAGGAGTCGGCGAAGTGACAAACAGACACAGACTCAAAAGAGTTACATCTGAGTGTATCTTTATTGAGGAGAATTAACATTTTTATACAGTGTGTGACTGTGACATAGATTCTTTATTTAAGCACACAATTAATTTTTAAGAAAAGCAAAGCATCGATGGATTACATGAAAATTGATGACTATCCCACCAATTGTTTAAGCTAAGTGGTGCGAAACAAGTCTAGCATATTGTTTAATAGAATGCTTCATCTATTCAGCCTTCTTATGTTTAATAATTAACAAACCTAAGTCAGGGCTATACTTATATTGTACTTTTTATTTTTTCCATATATTTTTAATCCCTTTGAAACCATCCTAAAAACCACTTCCAGGTTGAGTCAGGCATCCTCTGTTTTCTATAATTTTAATCCCAATATTTGTTCACATAAATTTTTAATTATTTTAAACTATCTTGTTGTTTTGATAAGAAACACCATAATGGTCTAGATCTACCTCATCTTTGCATAAAATCTAATGAGTTCCAAAATACTTTTTTTCCTTTTACATTAATCTATCTATTTTCATCTTTATAAACTCCTGTATAAGGCAATGGTTCATTGGTAGGCTCAGAAATGTGATGTCACTCATTTTATATTTTGTGGGAAACCACCATCTATTCCCTATAATGTAAGCTGGACTAAACTTAGTCATAACTGTTGGGGAAATATTTCTTTTCCTTTTAGTATCAGGGGTCCCTTTTTCTAGAACTCTCTGTGCTTCTGGGATAACTCCTTCTAGCTTAGTTTAATTCATTAATTCTCTCTGTTGTAACATATCTGAAAATTTTAAGTTTCTATATTTACTATGAGTGAGCAGCAAAACTGCTTGTGAAGTTGCAAGAGTTTCTGGAGGCAGCATCACATCAGATGATAGATTGATTGGGGCATTGCCCACATTTAATCTGTGGTCCGAGTCTTTATGCAGTCTCTATTGAACTGCAAAGAAACAACATGCTCTGTTCCCAGATCAATAGAAAAATAGCCAAAATGAGAATAAAGGCAACGAATGTACAGCCAAAAAGAATATAATAAGAATAAAGGTAGAGGCAATAAAGGTGCAGCCCAGTGTATGAGAAGCCTTGAACCAACACCCCCTTCCTGCAGGCATGCTTCCTTGAAGCTTATGCTTTGTCTGGCGCGATCTCATGTAGACTCCGCAGGAGGTGGCGTGGCATAACCTTTCCCATCTAGTCTTTTTCCAAGACTTGAAGATGCCATTTTCAAGTTGATCTTGGTTGAGCTCCTCTATGCTACCTCAGTAAAACCAAGAGATTAGGAAATAAAAGGAGGTGATCTACTTTACCTAAAACCATGATATTGTAATGGGGTGACACTCAGTGACGAGTGTGGCATGAACTGTAGCAAAGTGCTGGAGAGAGGCGAGGGGAAATGGAAATGCACGGGGAGGGGAAAGAGAGGCCAACGATGCTTCCAGTAATCCTAGGCTGACCAGTGTTTCCAGGCAATGAAAGGACCTAGCCAGGCAAGGCTTCCCCGGAGAACCAGGTTGTCCATTTGTGGCAGTTGTGCCCGGCATAGGCTAGATCACATTCTCAACTGGGAGAACCCTCACTCAACTATTCTCTAGTAGACAAATATAGAGGTCACTCAAGTGAAAACCAGCCCCCCATGGGAAAGGCTAGAATAAAAGTATCTGCAGTGTTCCCTGGAAGTTGTGGGAAGGAAGAGTTCTGTCTAACTGTGGAGAGCAGGGTCTGGAGCAGCAGGCATCAGGTGGCAGAATGGAGCAACCTCACCAAGGAAGAGGATGGTTGAGATAAGCACTGAAAATTTCTGAACAGCCAGGGCACAGAAAGAGAAGAAGGGCATCTCAGGCAAAAGGACCAGCATGAATCATGGTCTAGAGGTAGGAAGTTACATCACAGTTTTTAAAAAACTGTGTAGCCTAACGGGATGGTGGGTCCTGGCAGGGTTACAGATGCTGGTTAGGATAGTGTAGAGCTCAAAATAGTGATAGCTTACAGAAGAGGAAACAGAATGGCACAAGAGAGTTCAAGTTCACCTATGGCATGCATAGCTCTGAGCCCCTAGATGAACTTGGGTGGCACCTTTAACAAGCCAGGACATTTGAGAGGAGTGCTGATCGAGTAAATGGCACACAGAACACAAATGCTCTGCTTATATCAGCTATCATTAGTGCTATTATAATTAGTACTGTAATTATTATGAAGATTGGGAACCTTTTCCCACCAAGGGCCATTTCTGTATTTATAACATCATTCCCCAGCCATACAAAACCATCAACACAGGCAAATGGTAAGAGAAAACAATGGAGACTTAAATGAAGAGATACACCATCTTCATGGAGCAAAAATGTCAGTTTTGTCTGAAGTTACTTGTTCTTCAACATCCCACTACAATGCCACTTCATTGTGTCACCTCCCCTGAGTGCTCCAGGCATTCAAGGACCAGGACAGATAGTAACCCTGTGAGCTGAGTCTGGAATTCTATAGCTATTGCCATACTGGGACACCTTTATCCTGTAGCTAGCAGGTACCATTTGTGCTAGGTACTGGAGCTACTGTGGATAATACTTTATTTTATTAGAAAATAAATGCAAACACAAAAGTTGCAGCAAAAAAAAAAAAAAAGAGTAAAGAATAAAGAACTCCCATTCAGCCTTTCAGCCCCATGTTTTAGGACAAAGATTCAAATCAGGATTTTGCATTTCATTAGTTGCCATGAATTTTTAGTTTCCATTATCCTGAAGCCAGTTTTTGCCTTCCCTTGACCTTTATATTGAAAACTTTTGATAATTCGAATCCACTCGTCAATTTGGAATAGCTATATTAGGTTATAAAACATAGTATTCACATATGACAAGCAGATCTGTGGGGAGACAAGACCTTGAGTCCAAGTATACATTCCCGTGGCCAAGTCTGTTCCCAGGGCCCTCTCCAAATCTACCATGGCCTTTGGTATATCTGTCCTCAGAACTGGACATACAGGTTCCCTTGATGTATTTCTTATTACTTAGATAAACTAGGAATTTCCTAACCATTTAGGCCAATATATAACACAGTGTGGGGGTAGAACTTTTCTGTCTCAGGCTCTGGCTCTATCTGATGTACCTCTGGCTGCTGGCTGAAGCAGAACCTTGGTTCCACTAGGACCTTGGCCACAATGCACACACATCTGTGCACAACCAATGCTGTGTAATAATGTAGCATGCATCTGCCATTCTACTGCATGTAAGTTTCCTTCTAATAGAGCCACATAATAGCTGCAATGCTAACATCACTCAAAGAATTTTATGGGCAGAATCATTTCTGGTTTGATCTCATTTTTTGTTCAACTTTTTTCCTAATACTTTTAAAATTTAAGTCTTAACTTTTTATGATCCTTAAGTAGTTGTGCAAAGGGGTTTTAACATGTCAGTTTCTGAATAAAATGCATCTTGATCAATGTCATCCCTTCCATTTTCTCCTCTATCTCTCACTGATATTTCTTGTCTGATGATTGCCAAATTATGATTTTTATTATTCTATTACTCCTTTAAAAATTACAAACATTCTATTCTAGGGATTAGCTTTTTCTATTTTTTTTTTTTTTTTTTTTGGGTCCAGTCATGGGGCCTGAACTCTGGGCCTGGGCGCTGTCCCTCAGCTCTTCAGTTCAAGGCTAGCGCTCTACCACTTGAGCCACAGCACCACTTCTGGCTTTTTTCGTTTTGCTTATGTGGTGCTGAGGAATCGAACCCAGGGCCTCTGGCATGCAAGGCATGCACTCTACCACTGAGCCACCTTCCCAGCCCCTCTATTTTTTTTTTTTTTTTTGCCAGTCTTGGGGTTTGAATTCATGGCATGGGCACTGTCCCTGAGCTTCTTTTGCTCAAGGTTAGTGCGCTTTCACTTGAACCACATTTTCAGCTTTTTTGGCAGTTTATTGGAGATACAAGTCTCACAGACTTTCCTGTCCAAGCTGGCTTCAAACTGTGATCATCACTTCTTAGCCTCTTGAGTAATAAGGATTACAGGAGTGAGCCATTGGTGTCTGGCTATTTATTTTTATGTCAATATAGACTTTTTAAGAGAAAATGAAAATTAGCTCAAGGAAAATGTAC